AGGCATGTGCCACCATGCCCGGCTAATTTTTTCTATATATTTTTAGTTGTCCCGATTAATTTCTTTCTATTTTTAGTAGAGACGGGGTCTTGCTCTTACTCAGGCTGGTCTCGAACTCCTGAGCTCAAACAATCTGCCTGCCTCGGCCTCCCAGAGTGCTAGGATTACAGGCGTGAGCCACCGCACCCGGCCTCTTTCTTTTTTTTTTTTGAGACAGGGTCTCACTTTCTTGCCCAGGCTGGAGTACAGTGACCTTATCATAGCTCAATGCAACCTCAAACTCCTGGGCTCAAGGGATTCTCCTGCCTCAGCCTCCCAAGTAGCTGGGACTACAGGCACACGCTACGATGCCCAATAATAAGTTTTCCGTTTTTTGTAGAGACGGTGTCTCTACAAAACTGATCTCAAACTCCTGGCCTCAAGCAATCCTCCCTCCTTACCCTCCCAAAGTGCCAGAATTATAGGTGTGAGCCACCACGCCCAGCCTAGTATGTTCCAGTTTTTATGGATCCCTAGCAACATGCAGAATGGTAACTATTACGCACATTACTTCTGGAGAACATTTAAATACGTGGATTTTACTTCAAGTGTAAATTCAACTGGCCATAACTCCTCAGCCAGGTTTATTTTTTGCTTCATGTTTTAGGAGGGCAGATTCTTTGTTTTTAACTTTGATTTCATCTTTTATTATAAAAGTAATCCAAATTCCCGAGAAAACTTAGAAACATTCCCAGATTTTAACCTCCTGACCTCTCCATTCTGATAGCCTCTGTTTTACGAAGTTTCTCTTCCCAGGTTTCATTCAATTCAGCAATGATCTTCTCCGATTCCTAGGGAAGGAAGCACACAGTTAAAGTGGCAAGAGTCTTATAATCTAACATACCACGTCTAGGAAGGAAAGCAAAATCAGATTATGCCCTTTGAGGATCAAAGGCAGAATCTAATGTGATGAGGTTTTTTTTTTTTTTAATATATAAGGTAAGAATCATAAAGACTAGGCCTAAAATTAAACTAGCCCCAGACATATAAATCCTCCAAGTTGTCATAAAAATACCTAACAGTGAGTCTGCATGTATGTGTGTGTACAAAGAGGAAGGGTAATATTAATATCTCGAAACGCGAGATGCTTTTTCTGACAACACTTCTATAAAAGAATAAAGTCCCCAAAGAGATTCACTGCTCTTATTTTACCATAATTTCACCGTAACACAGTACCCTCTTAAACACAACACAATAGCCAACATAAAAAGGTTTATTACTAAACCTCATCTGAAAGCACATAGCTACCGAAGTGACAATTTTACCAATCACTTGCTCTTTATTATATAAATATAATAACTAAAACATGCTTCCGTTCTGAAGGAGCTCACCATATTGGGGAGAGAGAGCAGTAACTGACGATTTATTCATTTAATAATTATATATATAACCCCTTATATATCAAGCCCTGTTCTAGGCATCCAGGGATATGGCAGGGAACAAAATCCCTGCCTTCATGAGACTTACATTCCAGGAGGGCAAACAAAATAATCAATTTTAATCAATAAGTACTTTGAAGAAAAATAAAGCAAGGAAGGCAAAGAATGCAGGGGGAAGGGTAGGTGAAGGAGCAATCTGAAGTGAAGCTGTCAGGACAGGCCTCACTGACCAGGTTATATGTGAGCGGGGACAAAGGAAGAACAGGGCCTGCCTTGTGCGTATGTGGGGTAATAGGTAGGAAAGTGCCTGGAATTTTCCAGGAAAAATCATGTTGCCAGAGCAGCATGTTTGAGGATTGAGGCAAGAGATAACAGAATAGTGTGCAAAGTGCTTAGAACTCGAGTATTCACAGGTCTCTGGAAGGTGAGTTGGGAGTGAGTGATGCCCAGACAGAGGAATGAAGGATAAGCAGGAACTGACTAGGCAAAGAATGAAGAGTAAAGGAATACCAAAAGGGGAACGAGCTTATGCAAAAGCAGGATAAAATGCTGGTCATGAATCAGAAATTCAGATAATGATGATGATGAAATGATTGCAGTGATGGTGACAGTGATTAACGAGGAAAAGTATTACAGTTCACAAAATAGTTCACTGCATGATTTACATAATAGGTCAGGCCAGGCGTGGTGGCTCACACCTGTAATCCCAGCGCTTTGGGAGGCCAAGGCAGGATGATCACTTGAGGCCAGGAGTTCAAGACCAGTCTGGGCAACACAGTGAGAAAAAAATAAATAAATAGCATTACAAAATTAAAAAAAAAAAAATTAGCTAGGTGTGGTGGTGCACACCTGGAATCTTAGCTACTTGTGAGGCTGAAGCAAGAAGATTGCTTGAGCCCAGGAGTTTGAGGCTGCAGTGAGCTATGATTGGCGCCACTTCACTCCCACCTGGGTGACAGAGTGAGACCCTGTCCCTAAAAAGCCAGATCATTTTAAGAAGCCTCTGTGATCCCCACACATAATTATATACATAGAAAGAACTTGCTGGGTGAAGTAGCTCACACCTGTAATCCTAGCACTTTAAGAGGCTAAGGCAAGAGGACTGCTTGAGGCCAGGAGTTCAAGACCAACCTGGACAACACAGCAAGACCCCGTACATATAAAAATTAGCTGGGCATGGTAATATGTGCCTGTAGTCCCAGCTACTCAGGTGGCTGAAACAGGAGGATCACTTAGGCCCAGGAGTTTGAGGTTACAGTAAGCTATAATCATGACACTATACTCCAACCTGGGTGACAAAAAAAAAAAGGCAGAGAGAAAGAAAAAAAAAGGGAAAGAACTTGTGAGAAGTATAAAACAATAAACCCCAACATGTCTGGTGTTTGGTTTCCTGGAACTCTTAGGCTTCCAGAATAATACCATATTGGATGTTACCTCAAAACAAAAAAATATACCAAAGACAAGGGAGCATGTAAAAAAGCCAAGAGTAAAGACTCAAGGCATCAGCTGCAAAGCAAAGAAGTACAGGAGTCAGGAGAAACAAATATGAGAGCGTGATTTAAAAAAAAAAAGAAAAGAACAACTACCACAAAAGCTAGACAAAGAGCAAAACAGATAAAAGTTAGAAAGAGCATGGGCAACAGTAACATTTATATAAAGGCAGCCACGTAGGAGGTACTCTTTCAGAAAAGAGCAGAGCCAGTTACAAAGTGGGAGAAGCTAGAACAAGCCTATGGTAGGGGCGGGGAAGGTAAGAAGAAAAAAAAAACCACCTAAATTGGCTCTCATTAACCCTCAGCACACACAGGCTGAAAGGCTAAAACAGCTCCCCGAATGGCACTGCTACACAGTGCTCAGTAGGGATGATTACCAGGCAGTGCACAGCCACTCCACAGCTAAGCGGGGAACCAACGAGCCATGCTGGAGGGACTGCAACCGAGACTAACCCATACACCTACGGCAAGGAGAGAGAAGGCCAGGAAAGGAGGTGTGCCTGGTACCAAGTAGTCAATAGTATATATCTATCTATACAAAGCACCAGAAAAGTTATGCAACAACTAACAGAGTGGTGTTAAACGCTTCTGCATATGACTTTAAATGGGCAAATATAAGACAAGCTGACACCATAACCTATGAGATTTTAAGACTTATTACAGATAGCTGGGTAGAAATCTTTATAATCTCAAAGGGAAGACTTTGAAAACAAACAACAGGACAATAGGAGACACCTGACCAAACCAAAGCACCTAGACCAGAACTTATGGTGTGGCCCACAAACTACTTACGTTGTTTATGGAATACAAACTAATGCATGAGGTATTTTTAAAATATTTTTTCCTGTGTGAAAAAGAGAAAAAATATAAATATTTTTTCCTGGTTGATTACCTTCAGAAAAAGATAATTTCAGAGCAGAGGTTTATCTTGCCATACTAAAGCTATCCTATTTTGAGGCAACCATAGAACTCACCCTAAGAGACCAAAGTTACTGTCTAGGAATCTTTCCTACCATTTTGCTGCCAACTCTAATACGACCTCTCTAATTTTACTAACCACCTGAAGGGTAAATCAGAACATGATCTCTTTCTAGAAAAGAGATTTAACGAGTACTCTGAGTGAGGTACAACTTGTAATTTTATTACATCTCCAAGTTGCAATCTTTGTGTTGTCTAGAAAGCTATTTTTTAAAAATTTGAGGAAAGGTTAGAGAAAATAGTAACTGAGTGCCATACCAACAAAACTTCAGTGCTGGGAAAAGCATGGGAAACCATCCTACAGATGAGGAAACTGAGGACCAAAGAAGCTAAGTGATTAACCTGAGGCCACACTACAACCTGAGCCAGGTCTAGAGCTGAGTTTCCTGATTTCCTGAGTTTCCTGATTCTTACTATTCCTTCTTCACATAAGAACAGAATCAATAGGCTTTCAAGTAAATATTCTATGAAACAGCTCACACAAAAGTAAGAAAAAGTGAAGGATAATCTGTTCAAGCCTGAATAACAAACTTAGTATAAGTAAAACAGAGAAGCCAATAGGAAGCCAGCATTCAGTTACAGCTCATCAACTTATTCTGCAGGCAGACACGGCACACTGGTGTCCAGGGCTGCCCATAACCCACTCTACGAGTAAGATGAAATTGAAATGGGGATTCACAGTTCTGAAATGAGAAGTTGAGGAGATAAATCTTTAATCTTCCTTCCTGCAGAACTACATTTGAAAAAAAAGTCCCAAAACAGAGGGATATCAGGAACTTTTTTTTAAGATCTAAGGAATGGGCTCAAGTGTCATTCGCTCTTTGGTCTCACATCGTGCATGTCTGCAACTCTAGCTACTTGTACAGCACCGGTTAACAAATTGTGTTCATACAGCTAAATAATTTAATCTCTCCTTAATGATTCAGTTAAGGAAGCAGAGAAACCCACAGGGTGAGTCAGAATTATTTCCATGAAAAACATTACAATTTAAGTTGTGATACTTAAGAGGTTAAACACTACACAGAACATTCTTCAAAACCACCAGATTGCCAAGGTTTTACTGTACTGAACACAGCATGCTTTACAAGAGTTCCAAGTGTGGGGCCCTCAGGCCGCTCAGCACAGCATTTGCCCTTGCCTGCTTCTGCAATGGATATTTATAGGCCAAGTCTAAGCAATGGCACTCACAGTACTGACTTTGACACCACAGCCACGATGCAGTGACTACAGCTACAAACCTTATAGGACAGGAAGTCAAGTCAACGATACATACATTTCAACTCAGTTTGAACTGTGACTTAAAACTGAAGCAATTATTTATCACTCACTTTTGCCAGAGAGGTTTGTGGACAGGTAAAGATATTTATGATGGGGTAACTGGGGTGTTTTGCATATGGAAATTGGCTATTCAATGAACAAAGCAGCAGCAACACTGTGTAAAAGTAGTATCCTACCAACTGATCTTTTCTTAAGTCAAAAATAAAGAGAAGCAAAGGGGAATAAAATATTAGGAAAATGAATTCACGTCCTTTATTGTTGTCTTCCATTACAGTATTTTTCTCCTGCACTGTCATGCCTTAGGATCCCAGCTCCTGGACATTCTCAAGCATTTCTATCGTACAACCACTGCCCTAACACTGTGGATACAAAATGTTATCTGCCTGCAGCATTAAAATGCAGGTCTGCCCTAATAGAATTCTCACCATTCACAAAATAAGAGCAGAACAAAGGCACTCCTGCTTCAGTGAACTACCGTGCTGCTTTAAAAACTCAAGGCAGCACAAAACTGTAAAGAGTCTATTTTCTTTCTAGAGGAAGCTAGAGAAAATAAAAGATTTCATTTACGTTTCTGTAAAGAAGAATTAAAACAGAGGAACTTATTTTCTGATTAAAACAGTAAGTTTTATTTTAGTAGGAAGTAGGGAAGTTGAGGGAGAGTTCCCTGAATAATGACAACGTTATTCCCTAGAAACTATTTGGAAGACACTGAGTGACCTAATTCTTAAAGAGTCTGGTTAATGCCTTGACTCCTAACATTTGACATTATTTTCAGTTGGTCCCATTTGCCAGTTAGGGAGAAATTTCTCCTTTACACCACACCAAGATGAATGTCAAAGGAAAGGGTAATCTCATTTGTGCACTAAAGCTTTAATAAACAAATATCGATAGTAAGATTCAAAATCCCGAAGAAAAAGAATACTTTCTATTAAATACTCAACAAGTGGGATGTTTCACTTCTCATTTCCAGGGAACTCCCTATCTCCCACCCTGACTCTAAATAGATTGCTGCATAGCAACATGGTCACTGACAACTATTGTGAGAAAATGTGTGAATGAAACCTTAACCACACACCTTCACTAAGGTCTTTAGTAACATTTCCAAGTCAATTTTACCAACAGTAAAAATTACCCTGCAGCTTGCAATATTTAACAGAAAAATGTCTCCCTCTTTTCTTCATCAGGTGTTGCAGAACTTCACCCACTTTCTAACATGTTCTGAAGAAAGAAATAAGATAATTTTTCCTCTTTCTAAAGCACAGTATTTTTGGAGTAAAATACTAAGGGAAAAGATAGGCTTATTAAGAAAGAAAAAGCAGAAGCCCATTCTACAGAAGCCCATATAAAATCTTTTCAGCCTTGCCAGAAAATCAAAATGAAAGCACCTGACATCTCCAATTATCAAGTTTAATTCACTTGCAGTGGTGAAGAGGTTCAGCAAGCTTTTCAACGATTGCATTTGTCAAAGTATGTCACTGTTCTCAATCGTCTTTCAATGAGCAGCAGATGAGACGGATACTGAGCGAACATGGAGAGGAACACGGGCTGGCTGCATGGCTACACCTTCCCAGATCCTTAAAAGGTGTCTTTGGCCAGGCACAGTGGCTCATGACTACAATCCTAGCGACTCCAGAGGCTGAGGCAGAAGGATTGCTTCATTTGAGCCCAGGAGTTCGAAACTGCAGTGACCTATTATTGCGCCACTGCACTCCAGCCTGAGTGACAGTGTAAGACCCTGTCTCTTAAAAAAAAAAAGTGTCTTTGCCTTCCTTGTGTCTCTTACCCTGGCACTCTTGAATACAAAGGCCAAGAGGTATGGGTCAAACTATCATCCTGGAGATGACAAGCAGGGGAATAAAAAACATTTGCTTCAAAGCATATGATGCTGTCGCAGTCATCTGATGGATGGTGGGATTCCTGCACAACTTGTCTCAGCACCACAGGCAACAACTGTCTACTCAATGTAGTCATTGAGGGGGAAGGGAAGAAGTTATGGGTGAAAAGGCTTTGCTGCTCATAACTTTCATATTCATGGAAAGAGACAAGACAGAACCTGGCAGAGCCAGCAACAGCAAAGCTGGGTGCCACAGGCAGGGGGATCTGCATATATGCAGCACTATGGCCCGGGGACCCCATGTGCACCAGCACAGGAAACTGCTCTTCCTATACAGTAATCATAGGGTGTCAAGGTATTCTGTGAACTTCCAGAAGATATAATTTAATGTGTATCTGTATAAACCTGGTATAGTTCAAATGTTCGAACTTTCTTTTAGTTGTATATGTAATTTACTAACAGAAGCATGGCCCTATAAAGAATCCCATCTTCATCTACCCAAAAGAGCACAAAACATTCTACGATAAGGACATCTGCACCCAAATGTTTATGGCAGCACAATTCACTATTGCATGAATGTGGAAACAACCCAAGTGCCCGTCAATCCATGAGTGGATTATCAAAATTTGGTATATGTATACAATGGAATATTACTCAATCATAAGAAACGACAGTGATCTAGCACCTCTTACACTTTCCTGGATTAAACTTAAGCCCATTATCCAAAATGGGGCACCACAAGAGCAGCACAACGGGATCCATTTGTACTCACCATCAAATTGGTATTAACTAATCAACACATAAATGCACATATCAGAACAACATCTATTGGATGTTGGGGAAGGAGGAGGGTGGCGGGAGGAGGGGGTAGGAGGGAGGAGGAGACGGGTATTTGTATACACAAGGAGTGCAATGCGCACTACCCGAAGGATGGACATATTTGAAACACGGACTTGGCGGGGGGCAACCAAGGGCAACACACGTAACCTAAACATCTGTACCCCCATAATATACTGAAATAAAAAAAAAAAAATTAAAAAAAAAAAAAAAGAATCCCATCTTCAAATGAAGCCAAATGTTTCTAACTAATTATTTCCAACTATATTTCTAGCTAAACATTTCACTGTGACTTATAAACTACCCCAGAATTAACACACATATCTATTAATCAGTTACTCTGCATGGCCAACCTATGACCTGTCCATGCATCCCTCCCATCTAGGCCTGGTCATGTCAGACTCAAGCATTCTGGTGAAAACAAATCAATTAACTTACAAAGTAGAAAATTTCTTTTTCAGTACACCCGTAAGAGTTAGGAAGTTCTCCATATGTTGAGCCAAAATCTCAGTGATTTTAATCCTAGTTCTGCCTTGTGGAGCTATATAGAATACCTTGCATTCAGTCTGAACTATTACTTACCTTTAGACGTTCAATGGCTTCCTCTCCTCCAGGTGTAGACATGATCCTCTCCTGAATACTGGTCACAGACGTCAAGCCCACTTGACTACTGAGTGAGCAGGAAGATGGGGATGAAGTGAGGGACCCCATGGATGCTGTGGAAAAATGGCCAGGGCGTTGATTCTCAGAGGCTAGCAAGTACCTATGCTTATTGTTCTGAAAATCTTTCAGATCTGGGAGATAGAAAAAAGGGAAGGCAGAAAAAGTGGGAAAGAGGGAAAGGAGCAGAGGAAGAAAAAAAGACAGGAAGGAACATCGGTGTAAGAAAGGACAGCATTGAAGCGCCAAGACAAAGACACACTATAATACAAAGACAGATTATAATTGTTTTAGATGGCAGTTCTAAAACATGTCTCTGTAATAATGGTATCCTAGAGGTTAAGAGTCATTTCTGCATTGAGAAAATTAAAAATTCCAATACAGGTTAACATTCTATCTGGTAGGAGATAACTGGAGCCTTACAGGATGTTGCTTAGGCAGTCTCCCTAAACAGCCAAACTACATTCCTTCTATTCTTTCTTTTTTCTTGAGACAGGGTCTCACTCTGTTTCCTGGGCTAGAATACAGTGGCTCATTGCAACCTCAAACTCCTGGGCTCAAGTGATCCTCCTGCCTCAGCCTCCACAGCAGCTGGGACTATAGGTGCGCGCCACCACACCCAGCTAATTTTTCTATTTTCTGTAGAGATGGAGGTCTCACTATGCTGCTCAGGCTGGACTTAACTCCTGGCCTCAAGTGATTCTCCCACTTCAGCCTCCCAAAGTGCAAGGATTACAGGCGTGAGCCACTGCACCCAGCTATGTTCCTTCTATTCTTTCTATTGTTCCAAGTCTACAATGCCTTCAGATTTACACTACTCTTAAATTCCAGTAGTTTGTAATAGTAAGGGAAAAACAATGATCATTTATTTATCAATAATAATCTATATCAGCCTGGCCCAGTGTTCTATGAAATTCAGCAAAAATTTCCAAGAAAATGTTAGAGCTAAAACAAAAATCTGAGCACTCAGTAGTGTCCTTTGTGTAACAACATTTCAATATGCTAAGAGGATTTTTAAAATATGCCTTAAATAAAAAGGAGAGGTAATTGTAGAAATGACAGGAATTTTGTGCAAGTCCTGGTTAAGAGATTAGGACCAACTGATTGCCTCAAGGGGGAAGAACTAGCAAATTAATGAGTTTTAGTGTAGTTTCCATTCATTTACAGAGCAAGCAAAAAATAAATCTGATTATTTGCTAATTTAAGTAAGGCCCTTACTTTGCCTAACAGTACAATCATGGGTCACTGGTAAGCCAATTTCTTAGTATGAAATTCAAGTTTTGGGGACATATTTTCATTTACTGTAACTTTTACTTTTAAACTATATTGGTAAAAAAGCCACAAACAACAAATTAATGAATTTACTGTTTGTACTTTCATTAGTCATCCTTCTTAAATAGATGCCTGTGGTATTGGTGCATTTCAATTTTAAAATCAGCTCATTTTTAAATTTGAGAATATCTGTATTGCTTAAAATTCATATCAAAACTAAGTAAGTTTTCCTTAAAGGAGCTGAGTCAATATAAACAGCTGGAGAAAATATTATTAATTCTCTCTGGGTCTACTCATCTCTAATATTTAATGGAAGCCAGGGTTTGAAGCCCCTTAAAACCAGTGGTTGCTTTGAGACAGTTTGAAAACCACCATCTGCAAATACAGAACATAGAGAAACAAGCAAAGAGGTATGTTTTAAAAAGGGAATAGAAACTGGTGCAAAAAGTTAACCACCAGGTAACAGCAGCAGGTGGGAAAGACCAGGATGGATGGAGTTTAAAAGGTCCCACGGACACATGCAAACCCTAGAAGGAATTAAGAGAAGTAGATCAAAATGGAAATTGAGAAGAAGTCAAGGCTGCTTTTCTTCACAGATACAGAATTAAAACTTGGTCATGCATGGTTTTTTAGGAAATGCTACAGCTGCTCAAAAAAGAGGTAGGCAACAAACTTGTAGGAGCACCTTGAGCACAATAAGCAAGAACAAGAAGGAATCTTTTCCACACCAGTATTGTTCAGCTTTGGAAATCTCAGACAGAGCTGTTCCAGTCCAAGAGTCATTTCTGTATTAATACATTGTAATGCCTTCAAGGCCTAACCTTCTAACAACAGCCAGGCCTATATTTGGTTTCTCCTACGTATTTCCTCACTGTCTACTAAGCCTTGTTACATGCCTTTCTGTAAAAATAAACAAATCAATAAGAATCTAAAAATTAACCTTGAAATCAAGATTCATTTCTTTTAAGATAACAATTCCTTGATGAATTACCTTAAAAGGGTAAGAAATTATTACCTCATCAACTTAATGAGATATAGGGAGAGAATAATGAGGTTCACACGATCTTTTATAAACTCTCCTCATTTCAAGCACATTTTAGACACTTAAGTTTTAAAAAAATTTAATTAGTAATTTCTGAAAAGGGGGAAAAATGTTTATCCAACGATCAAGTAAGCTGAGGCCCAAGATATGAATAAAATCAACTTAGCATAAGCACAGGTGAGTGTCAGCCCAACATTTGCAGAGCTCCTCATTCACAATTTGGCCAACTCAATTGTTTTTCATTATGTATACAAAGCCTCAGATTTACAACGCTAATTAAAAAGGATTTTTATATTAAATAATCAGACCCTGAAGGGAGCAATTCAAGAGGGAGAAAAACAAGTGTTAGTGTAATAATGATTAAAAGCAAGGGCTCCGAATCACAACATCCAACCCAACCACATATTATAGACACTGTGGGATCTCAGACAAACAAATCACCCAGGCTATTGGTAAAATAAGCATAATGGAACTTTTAAGTCATTAACAATATTAAAAGAGATAATATATTCAAGGTGCCTAAAACAGGGCCTGGCACATCATAAACACTCAATAAATGTTAGTTGTTATCATTGCTATCATCATCATCTATGATTTGGGATATAATTTAATCATCACATAGGGGGAAAACTGAAGAGCAGAAGCAACAAGAGATTCTTAAGCCTCTCAACTTCACTTAAGCCATTAACAGAAATTCAGCAAAGATGGCATTGCTAAATGAAGAAGGGCAAAAATAGGATAATTTCTGATTCTACACTTTGCTCTGTCTGGGATTTCCCTGTTAGGATTGCTAGCATGCAAAGCTCATTTTAAGGCTGATCCAGCAGAGGCAAGTTAGCAAGTCAGAGTACTGGAAATAACCAATACACGAAATACACACATTTGCCTCCACTTCCAGAGTAATCATCGATCAACGGATCAACTGAAGGTAAGCAGGAGGGAAAATACAAGAAGGGTCAAAGTTTAGGTTCAGCAGTGACACAAAGAGGGAACAGAGCAGTATTCGGCATTTGGGAAGATAAAAAAGTTAACGTTTAGAATATATTATCATTTTTATAAAACTGTATTCATATAAACTCAGCCTCTAATTAGTAAGAACTAAGCCAGAAGAGGCTTTGAAAATTTTATTAGAATTTCAAGGAATATAATATTACTTTTACACTCAAAAAATAAAAATGTCATTTATTAAACAAATCCATATTCTACCATATTCTATTCTATTTGAAAAATCTCTTAAACTCACTTAAGAGAACTTCTGATTAAGCCATTATATAGGCAGATTACTGAGATTTTTAAAAGATGTATTTTAAGACAACATTGTAAAACAATACTCTACAGAAGTCTAATTCCTGAACTTGATAGAAATTGGGTCTATGGCCAATGGCCATACCACCCTGAACATGCCCGATCTCGTCTGATATTGGAAGCTAAGCAGGGTTCGGCCTGGCTAGTACTTGGATGGGATAAATTAGAGTCTTCCCCTTCATATATTCATAGGGAGCAGGGGACAGTCAATAATTTTACAGGAGGAGGAATCTTATCTGAAAGTAGACTTGAATGGGAGGTTTCTTACACATCTATTACTGCCATTACACTAATTCAGAGTAACCCATAAAACAAAACCCTCAGGTAACATTTTAATGATGTGATTAATTTCTTAGTGATAATAAGTTTAACATTACAAATAAACTTCATTGCTGATCTAAAACAGAATTCTAATAAAAATATAAGTGGTGACATATTCATGTTTTAGAAACTCATTTCATGAGTTTAAATGGATAGCCTGGTATATACTACATAAAGGAATCCAGAGATCACTTTCATTGGATTTTTAAAGGAAAAAAAAAATTTTTCCACTACTATGTAGCTTCATCAAGTCCCTTAAAGTTTATTTCAAATGTAAGAACGCTGAAGAAAAGATTAGATTTTGTTGATCCTTAATTCACTTACTATCAATAATATCTCCCAGCCCCTGAGCACGAAGAAGGTCCTTGAGCCGTGTCACCTCCTCCTTTAATTCACGAACCAGTTTGGCATTGGGGTCCTCATTGATAACAGCATTGCATTTAATTTGCTTTGCACGATCTGCATATCTAGATCCAAAAAGAAAATTCATTTCTCAAATGTTCTACTTCTCATAAATAACATACTATTATTTCTAAATCAAACATCCTGAGTATTTACACATTTTACGAGCCTTGATAAAATAATACACTTGTATAAACCTTTATAGTACCTTATAAAGATGAGCAAAAAGGCTCAGATGAATTTAAGTGATTTGCCCACAACCACAATGGAAATAAATACCAGAGAAAGGATTCAAACCCGATTTGTCAGACTACAGAGTGTTTCTTCCATTATATCAAGTGTCTTTAATGGAAGGAGGATAGAGAGTTCCAGATTAAAGTAATGGAACTTATGCAGATATAAAAATATTAATATTCTTTTAGTGAACATTCTGTTGCTAATTTTTTAATGCTACATGTACCTAGAATTTTATTACTTCTTATGACTTCAGCATTTCTATAATGACAAATACCACAAGGATACACTTCTTTTTTTTTTTTT